AGTGAACATCCTCAAACATGGCCAGGCATGGAACAGTAATTTTGTGTTGTCTTCAGTTGTCTTGTGTTGTTCAGTGTATTTCAGTGTAAATCGTGACTTAACCTTTTCTCTTTGGGTTTTGTCAAATAGAAGATACATTCTGTGTAAGGATGACCACAGGGCTTACAAATAAAATTGATCTACCCCGAAGGCATGATTGTGTGTTTCAGAAGTGGGCTTTCTGAAGCAGCTCTGTTTCTCTCACGCTGAGGTACTGTACACAGCGTGAGCTGTAATTATAGCCCTGCATTTTCAACTCCCACTCACACACAGAAGAGAAGTACGCAGAGATGTGGCAAGTCAGAATCTAGAGATTGGAGGAGTACAATCTTTTAAAAAATCCTCCAAACACAGATACTGTAACTGGAATTGTCTGCTAATTGTACCTTTCAAAAGTGTTTGATTGTTAAACACCGGAAATTAATGTGTGGCTTTCATCTTTGAGGTGAGAGGGCAGGGGCTCTGACAATGACTGGCAGAATCCCCTTTGTTGCGAAATTTAATTTAATGTAACTCTCCTTTGCCTTTCAACCAGATAATTTGAGAAAATATGGGTCCTGTCCTTCAAGCAGCCATTAGTATTCCGGTGACCACAGTCGATCCTTCTTTATCTCATAACCAGCAGTGCTCTGGGATAAGAGTTCCCCAAAGTACATCTTTCTATTCCTCCTGGCTGTTGGAAACTTTGTAATTCACAGGGGATTCTTCTTTCCCATGCTGTAGAATGGCTCATCAGTTATAAAGGCAAATGTTTGGAAAATGGATGCATTTGAAAGAGTAAAAATTGGATTAAGTTGTCTGGCTGGTCTGTTCCTTAAGCACAGAATCAAGCAAACCTCAGAGCAGCTTTTGGGTAATGAAGAGTTATACCAGGTTTAAACATAGCCAATCAGCACTACCCCGAAAATCGGTCAGTACAAAAGAAGACCGCGTAGTACATAATCTATTAAGACACAAAGAGTGGAAACAGTCTCTGTGTTACTAAGGAACCTTGGAGTGATGTTCACAGATAGTAGGATCATTTACATTAGGTTGCAGAAACGACAGTTGCAGAAAGATTTTTTTTAAGTAAGGTTGAAACGATGTCCTTCTTGTATAATACCTGGGTCCTTCTATTTTTATATTCCTGAATAAAGACAACCGATCTCTCTGAACAGCTGCATTTTTAGGTGGAGCTCCTAGAAAAACTCGCCTGATACAAATTACTCTCCTTGTATTCAATACCCATCACTTTTATTTTTCTTCTGTTACCCGGCAGAGACAAGAGCTGGAGTCTGAAAACAAGAAGCTGAAGAATGACCTGAACGAGCTGAGGAAGGCCATCGCCGAGAGGGCCACGCAGAACAACTCCTCCAATGAGCTGCAGGAGAGCTACAATCTGCTGCTCAACCAGCTCAAGGCGGCCAATGAGGAGCTGGAGGTGCGAAAGGAGGAGGTACTAATCCTGAGGACGCAGATCGTGAGCTCCGCCCAACAAAAGGAACCAGACAAACGCATTGTAAGTCCCTTTGTTCCCCTGGGCATTGTGGGATTGAGTGCTGTCCTCGGTACTTCAGCACAAACACTGTGCATTTGTGTCAGTGAAGCAGTCATCCTTCACTGTGGAGGTCCAACTTTGAACCTTGAACTGTCTGTCACTGAAGCAAATAAGTTTTTAATTTCCCCAGTGCTTTTAGGTGCGTTGAAAAATTTAGCCACACAATTTCACAATGAATGGCAGTCAGGCATGGTTTCGTTTTTTTTTCATATTAAGATTCTGTGGTCCATTCCTGCTTGTTTCACAGCTGTGATCTGCCGGCTGAAATTGCAACAGAGGGTACAGGGTGTGTAATTGTAGATGTAATTGCACTTGATGCTTTTGCTAATTAATTGTCGTCCTGCACGCAGGAAGGGGGAAACAAAGGCAAGCACTTTGATGACAGCAGGCTGCAGCTGAAAGGGACAAACGTATAAGGAGCTCAGCTTGAATGTGGGGTTGTGATGCTGTAGATTAATTTGATGTAGTGGGTTTTCCTGGTTGTGTTGGCACTGGGAGCAAATCTATTGACGGCTAAGAGATCCATGACCCAAAAGCTCATAGCACAGCACTGCTTAATTATAAACACTTAATTATACAGCCCTACAAATCTGCTTTTGAAGTTGCTGAGGCTGTTTCAAGCTGAATTCCCTCCTGGTGCTTTCTGGAATCTGAATTCATGTTTTTCACTACTCATTTTTTCTTCTGCTTCAGGTGGCTATATGCAGAAAAACTTTAATTGTAACACCAGGTGATTTTGATACAACTGATAGAGAAAGTAAATCTGAAAGCATTAAGTATATATGAGCTGGTGGCCAAAGCAGTAAAATCTCAGTTTTCTATTGTGTTTTACAAAAATAAAACAATCTGATTCTATGGAAGGGTGGGCATTTGAATACATGTGGAGAGGATTTGTGATCAACAAGGACTATTTAACACTCTGTTCCAGCAGCCGCACTACACAGCAGATCAGGTGGAAAATTGCAAAATGAATTCATCAATTGAATTAAGGGGGATATTAAGCTAGATAGGACAATGCCAACCTATAGTGGAATGTAGCCAGACAAAAGCGTTAATAAGCCCTATGCTTACAAAGCGCTGTAGGATGTCCAATGAGTCAGTAATCAAGACCTCCATTTAGCATCTCAACCGAAGTCCTGTTGACATACCGGGGGATTGATGTGGAAATTCTGCTCCAGATGTAAGAGCCCCAACCAGCGGTCACCAACACCACTTAGCATGCACCCTGGTTTCCTTTTGAGGTCTCTCTAAACCTTCCCTGGCTTGTGACATCAGACTACAAGTTGGCAATGGGGCTTTCAAGTAATTCCGTGGAGAGTGTAAAGGCTGTGCAGCTGTAAAATAAATTTAAAAAGTCATGATGCTCCGGTTTGATATTATTTCTTTGTTTACTGTTATGATTAATTGCCTGGTTTTACAAAGTCAGCCCAAGGTGGGCAAGTTCATGGCAGAACTGACACTGCTGCTGTTTGTGTGCTTGCAGGAACCCAGCACTATGCCTGAGTGGAATAACAGCAACAAGAACATGAACAGGGACGAGGCCATTCAGGCCTACCATGGGATGTGCGAGTCCAAAAAGTAAGTGAACTAGCCTCTGATATATTAGTAGTAGTCTCTCCGCTTCTTTAGAAAAGGTAGCCTTTTTACTGCATCCCTCCCTTCAACAACAGGCATGCCTGACAAGATCTGGTCCAGACGAGAGCATTTGAGATCCGGGAAGTGAATCGTTCAAGTGCAGTAACATCTTCCTTTAGCTGAAGCCCAAATCGGTTTGGAGTCATTTATGAAACGTAGCCGTTTAAAGACAAACCTCGGATGTTGTTGAGGAACTGAAAACAATTAAAAGGCTCAAGGTCAGCCTATTATCAGGTCAGTTAAGAGCTCAATGGTGTACCTGAAATTCATCTGGAACAAATGCTTGGAGGTGTGAAGGTCCTTAAAACCGGGGTTAGAAACCCCAGATTGTGGATGACCATGATGTGACAGATTTAGGGGTGTTTTTGGATACTCTTACACTGTTTCTTGTGTGTATCTGTGTCATGCTTGCGGTTAAACACTTTTCCTAAGTTCAGTTAGTGGCACAACACCTGTATATACAGTATACAGCTTTTTCAGTTGATTCATTGAGTTTGTTTTTCTCAGACTTATTTTTCACAATCACTGAAACTAATGAAAGGTCGTAGTACACATGAGGAGGGTGAAATAAAAAGATTAAAACAATACTGTTTTTGTAGAACCGGGTGGCTGAACCTTTAATGGGTTGGTCAAACTAGAGCAGGAAAAAAAGATTATTTTTTCTAGCATATACACTAATAGTGAAAAACAGTTGCTGTGAATTTGTAGAATTTGTGCTCCCTGTTCTGCGTGTGGCACTTAGCTATGAAAAAAATATATTTGCTCAATCATGTCACAAATAGTGCTACTGTTCAGAAAAGAAAATACAGTAAATTCAGTGGAAGAGAAGAGATTCAATTAAGAGTTTCAGTTCTAGCTACAATTAAGCTTTGCAGTTCAGTTTTAATATAACTGTAAAGTCTTACCTGGTGTAAATTATTGTTTTTGCAGTGTCTAAGAAAGAAAAACATGTCTCTGTTTATTAACACACCCTGGGTTGTATCTTCACATTTAAAATAGAGTAGCAGTCCTATATTATTAATCTCATCTTGATTTGAATTCATCTCTAATGTGTCTGCTCTTTAATAATAACTGGAAAAGCATATTACCAAGATTGAGTTTATCTGTTGGCCATTTTCCTGGGGCAGAGTGGGAGGCATGAGAAACTTAGATTGAATAGTGAGCTTTTGTTGCCATTCTTAAGATAGATTTGAGACTTGTGGTGAAATAAAAGTGCTATTACTGGTATGCTGAGTGGCTACAGCAGAGAAATGAGCAGTAGACTTTAGAGACTTTAGAGTTCATAACAGAGGTTACAATGGTCAACACTGTATGATGTTTTATCAATCTGTTCATAATCTAAATTCATAGATTTCAGCCTTGCAATACTGCTACTGTGGTGGTTTCCAGGCAATAGGAATGGCTGACAGCACTGTGATGATATCAAGATTACTGGGGAAAATGCTCCCACTTTCAGTCTGCCAAAAAGTCATTCTCAATCATCAAACCACTAAACAAAAAACAGAATGAAAGAAAAAGACTACACCTGTGTTAGCTGAAATAAAGATCCGCATGCTGTGGTGGAACTAAGGGAGCAGAACCAGTTGGCTTTGGCAATATTTCAACGACCTGTCAAAGGGAAATATGATTTAGCATTCTGCATTGACTCAAAAACTAAAGTAACATTATTTTTAAATTCCTCTTCTAGCCTCTAGCTTGTGAGGTTTGTGAAAGCCATGACAAACTGTATTAGTCACTAGTATGCAGGATCCATTTCTGATCAATGAGATTTGAAAAACATAAAATGGGCAAAGGGCTATTAAAAAACACAACTGTGCAGCTGTCTTTGGCATCGGAGCCAGCAGGACATAGTATTACATTACTGCTCATGCATAATAGCTAAGTAAACAACAGTTTTTAAAAAAATATTTTCTATAATTTTATTAACAATGCAGTTTTGCTCCAGGGTCCATCTGGTTCGTTCTAGGTTTGTTTACTGCTTGTGCATTCCAACATCATTACTTCATGACCAGCGTCTAATGTTGTGACAGTGAGTGAAATACAAAACCAATACATAATATACACCTTTCTAAAAAAAGCTTGTTTTTTTTAGTTTGTCTTTTTCTCCTCCCAGAGAAAATGTGTTAAAAATGGTCTGCTGTAAAAGCAATTACCCTGAAGAGTGTGGTTCTTCCTTTTCCAAGTAATCTTTGCTTTTAAAAGAGCCATTTCAACCCATAAAGTCCTGCAGTACAACTCGCTGACAAAAAAGTCACTGACAATTTTCTGTTAGTAGAGGAGAAAAAAACTCCATCGATCTGCACAGAGGCAGGTCTTACATGTCAGGACCTAATGTAAGAGCCTGTTTGTTAAACAATAGGAGTCTGCACAGTTTGTAGAGCACATGGGCACTGACTGTCAGTTTCTCAGAAATTCCCTTTGACAGTCTGATCAATAGCCACTGCTCGTATTTTTTAAGACGCATCTTTGAAACTATGATGTAGCACAGAAATGCAATTAATCCGCTTCTGTTCTGACAGAAGGCAGGATTTGAAAGGTATTTTGTGATATTTGCAATTCCCCCACAGTATGACTTTCAGTAAGGAAAGTGCAAACATAACATGGATGTTGTTAAACTACAAAGCAACTAATCCTTCATTAAAAAAGCCTTTCTTGAGCCCCGTGACCCTTGTTCTATGTCTTATCAGTTGGCTGGTTTCTTGTATACTGTACAGTATATGGAGGTGGAATTAGTTAACTACGTACTGTATATGAAGTCCTGTTCTCTCAGGAAAATCATGGTCTTAGGGAATTTAACACACACTTTGAGAATTAAGAATTAAGAAGGGGTTTGTCATTTGACAACTGTTGAGTAGTACTGCACAAATTAGATGCTTTCTGCTTTAATGCCGTTGTCTGTTTCCACAGCTTTGCTTGCTACGTATACTGCAGCTGTGTGGAGACAGATATAGGGCTGGGGAGGCCAGGCAGGGCTGATTTACACAGCTCCTTCAACCAGCTGATAACAGGCAGAGCACAATCAGGGGGCATCACAAGGAGAAGCCAAGCCACTCGAAGTCAGGAGACAGGCCCAGGCAGAGTTTTAGACAGAGACTAAAATAAGGAACACCATTTCTGCTGCCTTGGAGGTCTGTTGAGATGCAGTGTTTAAGAAAGCCCTTAAAATGCTTTCAGTATTTTACATGGTGTGCCAAGTGGCTTTCCAGCAGACAGCGGCACATTGGCAAATAACAGCTTGGTCTCTTTCCATGTTACTTAGCGTTGGCTGCCTTTTCAAGTGTGCGTTTTCCTTTCAGCTCCTATCTTTGCCAGCGCTATTAATCTGTCTTGCTTTGTTTTCTCCACCCTGTCCTTCTCCTCCTTCTCCTCCTGCTGTGGCTGTGGTTTCCAGCAAGGCCCAGGACTGGGGCTACTTGAACGAAGATGGGGAGCTGGGCCTGGCCTACCAGGGTTTAAAGCAAGTCGCCAGGTTATCTGCTTCTCTCCTTTCCTGCACTCAGCTGTGTGTTTCGTGCATGTTGGAGCTGGGCACACGCTGAGCTTTGTTAGCCTTATCTGTCATGTGAGACTCATGTCTGGCCATTCATTGCCATTCTGTGTCACTCTCATCATTTGGAGGGATGTGATGAAGATCCTGCCCTCACAGGGTACTTGGAATGTGTGCTCCAAGCCACTGCCATTGGGTTCTTCAGAAAGGAGCATGTTTGAACAGAATCAGGGTGAAACAGTCAAGGACCTATCAGAAGAGAGCTTGGCCACTCGAGCTTCCATCTAAGCTTCAACGTTTAAACTGCTGTCTTTTTACAGGATGTCTTCAGTGTGTTTTTTGTGGAGATCAGGAGGCCTAGAAAGGTGATATGTACAGATGGTATAAGCCTCAGCCTTTTTTTTTCACTCTTGTCGATTTACATTCTTCCAGCAAAAGCAAAGACCTCAACGCAGACTCACATAAAATTATTACAAGGGGCAAAACACATGAAGAACTGAAAGTACAACATATACTCACCAACGTATTTAAAAGCGCTGCCTGGTGGGCAAGTAAAGTTTTAGAGCATTTAAGTAAGTGTGTCCAAAAAAGAAAAATTCCAAGGGAGTATGTGAATATGTTTATAACTTCACTGACCTGAGGTCTGTTTTACAAGACTGCAAACACTGGAGATATAGACACAGCTGGCATCAGCACACATGTCTGAAACATGCGAGTCAGGAAAAACGCACTCCCAGTTCCTTCCAGTTTTTTGGGAATGGGCCGTGCTGCTACTGGGAGCCGGAGCTGCAAAACAAAGATAGATTCTAGGAAGTGAATTTGTCACTATGCAAAAGTGAAAAAGAGTCAAAAAAGAGGAAGAGAAGTGGCTGATCCAACATCTTAGAAAACAAGCAGTCTGACAGAAGAACTCAGACAGGTGTTGCATCTGTGCTGTTGATATAGGTTCCTAGGATATTCCCTACCTGATTGTCTCCATATGGCAGATCTCTTCTTCTCCCTGTTTCCTGCGGACAGGGGTGTGCGATTATTCCACTCCCTCCATCATGCTTTTCATATCCCCACTGTGACCTGTGCATCGTCAGTCATCCTCCATGTCGTTCCTGCTGTGCCTTGACCATAGAGGTCACTTGAAAGGCAGGCAAGCATATGCTTCCCTCAAGTGCTCATTGTAATAGAAGTATTCATCTCTCACACTATGTACAGTTTCGAGAAAAAGGGTAACTTCACCATTAATATTGTAAGGAGAGACGTTCTGTGTCAAAAATGCATATGAGTCTGTGATATACAGGTGAATCTGTATTAGCATTGCCAATACTCTCTTACACAGAACATATTTTTCTTTTTTATTACATTTGGTTACTGTATGTTTAATAGTGGTCAGATTCCATTATTGGTCCTGACATATTGTGTCTCATGGAATTGAGAGTAGTTTCCTTTGAGTAGTTTTCTCAAAGGAAAGATTCACCTTTTATTACTCTAAAATGGCCTAAAATTGTATTACTCTAAAATGGCCTACTGCAAGTAGTAAGTATTTCATAAAAGTGTTTTTATGAAATAAAAAATCTGGTTATTTTTACATTGACTAATGATTGAATAGTTAACAAATAGTTTTTTAAAAAAACTTCTCATACTGAATTGTGACTTCCTTTCCCCCTCTTCCAGGGCTAATTAATTCTTTGTGTCCTTTGGTTCAGTTAATTCTAGTTGCAAATTAGCTGAGGGGGGACATGTTAGGTGTCTCAGAAATTCTTTGAGCTCTGATAAGATTTGTATGTAAGATGTTTTTTTACCTCACAATTTGAACAGTCAAGATGTACTGTATGTAAATTGAACAGCTAACTGCAGCAAATTGGAGTTCTGAAAAACAGAATGGAAATTCAGTTTTCACAGAACCCAACAGTTGCCTTCTTATCAGACATCAAAAGCTCATTATTTTATTGAATAAACATTTGCTAACGTACTGTATTAACTCTCTCAAAGGTTATCTCACCCTTTTACAAAATCAAACAGACTTGCAGTACGTGGAGTTTTTCCGATACAGTAGAAAGGAAGTCTACTTTGATTTTTCTTCATCACCCTGTTAGTTTTATGAAGACTAGGAAAAAGTGAAGGCATGAAATCAAAGCTGAAATAAAAGAATAAACTGTAAATATTCATTGTA